GAGGAGGAGTAGTAGCAGTGGTAGTAGTAGTAGTAGCAGTAGTAGTGGTAGTAGTAGTAGTAGTAGTAGTAGTAGTAGTAGTAGTAGTAGTAGTCGTAGTCGTAGTCGTAGTAGTAGTCGTAGTCGTAGTCGTAGTCGTAGTAGTAGTAGTAGTAGTAGTAGTAGTCGTAGTAGTAGTAGTAGTAGTAGTAGTAGTAATAGTGGTCGTAGTAGTAGTGGTACTAGTGGTAGTAATGGTAGTCGTAGTAGTAGTAATACTCGTAGCAGTAGCAGTAGTAGCAGTAGTAGTAGTAGTAGTAGTAGTCGTCGTCGTAGCCGTAGTCGTAGTCGTAGTCGTAGTTGTAGTCGTAGTCGTAGTCGTAGTAGTCGTATTTGTAGTCGTGCTCGTAGCCGTACTCGTAGTACGTAGCAGTAGTAGTAGTCGTAGCCGTAGTGGTTGTACTAGCAGTGGTAGTAGGAGTAGTACAAGTAGTAGTAGTAGTAGTAGTAGTAGTAGTAGTAGTAGTAGTAGTAGTCGTAGTAGTAGTAGTCGTAGTCGTAGTCGTAGTCGTAGTCGTAGTAGTAGTAGTTATTGTAGTCGTGGCAGCAGTGGTAGTAATGGTAGCACCAGTAGTAGTAGTAGTAGTGGTAGTAGTAGTAGTAGTAGTAGTAGTCGTAGCAACAGTAGTAGTCGGAATTGTCGTCGGAGTAGTAGTAGTAGTAATAGTAGTAGTAGTAGTCTTTGTAGCCGCTGTAGTAGTATTAATCGTGGTATTATCAGTAGTAGCAGCAGCAGTAGTAGTAGTAGTAGTAGTAGTAGCAGTAGTAGTAGTAGTCGTAGTCGTAGTCGTAGTCGCAGTAGTAGTAGTAGTAGTAGTAGTCGTCGTCGTAGTAGTAGTAGTAACCGTAGCAGTAGTAGTATTAGTAGTAGTAGTCGCAGTAGTAGTAGTAGTAGTAGTAGTAGTAGTAGTAGTAGTAGAGTAGGTAGTATAGTAGTGATTTCAGTAGTAGTTATAGGAGTAGTAGTAGCAGTAAGTCGTTAGACGTAGCAGTAGTAGTAGTAGTAGTAGTAGTAGTAGTAGTAGTAGTAGTGGTAGTTAGTTAGAGTAGTAGTAGTAAGTCGCAGTCGCGTCGCAGTCGTAGTCGCAGTCGTAGTAGTAATAATAGTCGTAGTAGTGGTAGTCGTAGTGGTAGTAATGATACTAATGATGGACATAGTAGCCCTAGTAGTAGTAGTAGTAGTGGTGGTGGTAGTAGGAATAAGTGGGTGGGTAGGTAGGTCGGTCGGTAGATAGGTCGGTAGTAGTAGTAGGCGTAATAGTGGTCGCAGTCGTATTAATGGTAGTAGCAGTCGTAGTAGTAGTAGTAGTAGTAGTAGTAGTAGTAGTAGTAGTAGTAGTAGTACTAGTAGTCGTTAGGTAGTAGTAGTAGTAGTAGTAGTAGTAGTAGTAGTAGTAGTAGTGGTATTAGTAGTAGTAGTAGTCGTAGTAGTAAGTAGTAGTTAGTAGAGGAGTCAGTAGTTTAGTAGTAGTAGTAGTAGTCGTAGTCGTAGTCGTAGTCGTAGTCGTAGTAGTAGTCGTAGTAGGCGTAGTAGTAGTAGTAGTAGTAGTAGCAGTAGTAGTAGAAGTAGTAGTAGTAGTAGTAGTAGTAGTAATAGTAGTAGCAGTAGTAGTAGTAGTACTAGTCGTCGTCGTCGTAGTCGTAGATGTGTTAAGAGTAGTTGTAGTGTCCGTGGTAGTGCTTCAAGTCATGGTGGTATCATTGATTTTATGAATGAGTATTCGTAGTAGTTGTGGTAATCGTTGCCGTGGCTGCAATCGTAATCGTAGTCGAATTTGTGCGAGGGGGAAGAATCGCGGAGGAGCGGAGCATCACCAGTGTGATGATGATGTTGTTGCTGATGACGGCGATGCTGACGATGTTCATAATCATGATGTTGGTGATGATGTTGAAGACAATGGTGACCATGCGCAGCAGCATAGAGAAAACACACCAGCAGCGGCAGGACTCACATGGCAAGCGGTCAGGTGCCCGCCGATATGTGGCAGGGCATTCCCGTGATCCACGAAGGGGTTGCAGAGCCAACCAGTCGTCCCCCATCAATTGCTTCACTTCAGGCGTTTTCCAAATCTACCCCTCGTGTTTCGTAGCACTCAGGGGGTGGCTTCTCTGTCGCCCTCTTCCCTCTTCCCTCTTACTCCGTCCAGCAAGGCATGAGGGACCAAACCCGACTTGACTGGCGAATGCTTTGGGGAGGGCCTGCGTTCAGATAAGGCCGCAGCACGGTTCAACGATGTGCGGTCAACCGAACCTTCAGAGTGAGCCTTGTCCACTTTCCTGCGCACCTTGGCTGTGGCTTCGGCTGCAGCTGCGGGTGCACCGCGAAGCGCCTTAGGACCAGCTCACCCGAGTCGGTTTTCCCCTCGCATGGGTAGATATTTCTTTCCTCTTCTCTCTCTGTCTCTGTCCTCCTCCCCTCCTCCCCTTCCTCCACGCCCTCGCCCGCCCTTGCCTGGCCGCCAGGAAGGGCACCGACAAGGACTGGGAGGAGCGCGCTGGTGCCATGACCTATCCCGATGCAGTGGCCAAGGTGCTCAAGGCCAAGGCCCCACGACCCAGGAGGGAGGAGGGAGGGAGCAGGAGGATGAGGAGGCGGGAAGTCGCCCTTGTTGGGCCCTGGCTGGGTCGCTTGCTCTTCCTGCCGCTGCCGCTTTTTTGTTTTTCTTCTATTCCCGCCCCCTTGAGCTGCTGCTGTTCGTCTCTCTTTCGGATGGGATACATCCTTGATGCCTCCAGTATACGAACGGAAGAGGAGGCGGGAGGAGGAGGAGGAGGAGGAGGGAAGGGCGGGCGAGAGGAAGGGGTGATGATGATGATCATGATCATGACAATGATGACTATGGTGCCTATGCTGATTGTGCTGATGATGGCGGTGATGATGATGACGATGGTGATGCTGTTGTTGATTCTGAGGATGGTGATTGGGATAATGATGATGATGCTGATGATGATGATGATGATGATGATGATGATGATGATGATGAATGATGTTGCTGATGACGATTGCGATCATGATGTTGATGGCGATTCGTCCTACGTAGTACTGCTGCTACTACTACTACTACGACTACTACTACCATTGCTGCT